GCGAGCACACACACATGCACACGCGCAGGAGGGCCCCCGCTGACACACGCAGGATATGCAGACACACACACACACACACACACACACACACACACACACACACACACACAGCTATACTGGCAATGTGATCAAATAAATCACTCGTGTCGAGATGAGGAGCTCGCTGGAGTTAGGATGATAGAAACAACTGATTGCTAAAGTGGGCGGGAGCGTTGCGTTGATGTTCGGCCCGTGCATGCGTCCTGCCAGGTGGGTCCGGGCCTTACGCTGGCCGCTATTATGCAACAGTCAGTCAGTGGGTCTGGGAGCGCGCGGAGCTATGTGTGGAGAATGCCTCAAAATCTGCAACCAAGGCAACTGGATTTCCATCCCTCATTGCATATGCATCGAGTCAGAGGCTCATGCTCAGATCATTATAACAAAGATTCCTATTAATTAGGTGGGATAAAGCAGAGCCAGATGACATGGCAGCTGGGATGAGGAGACGAGAGGGGAGAAGGGCGGGAACCGACACAGGAGGGGAGAAAGTGCATCAGTCTGCTTTCTGTGAGGCGGGAAGGTGGATTTTCTTCTTCTTCTTCTTTTTTTTTGCTAATATAATGTGTAACACAGACTGTATGTGATAAACCTTTCAAATCTTTTCACTGCTGCATTGAAACTAAATAGTTTTCCAAATATAAATGCGTTGACGCCACCAAGCACCTGCAGACAATTTCCGTGGAGGCTGGGTGTAGAGTCAGCGGGGGCGGCGGCGCTGACAGGGGGCAGTGTTACAACAGAGTCAAGAGTTCATCAGCGCTAATCAGACCACGGGCTTCAAGCTGATGCTATTCTCTTCCAGAGCTTTCACCCATCCCTGAATCTCATTACGTGGCGTGCTGTAATAGAGGATAATGACCTGGGGCTACTCGCACAATGCTGATCACTCCCCCACACTCAACCTAGTGCACGGTCATTATACAGTCATAACACACAATGTCGCTGAGGGGGGGGTAGGTACACTTACAAATAGAGTAGAGGTGATAAAGGACGACGGATCTAAGTGGTAATGCACAACCGCATACAGTTCAGACGTATAGCCGTGTGTGCGATTAGCCCAGCGGCACACCCCGCTGCGCCGCTTTATGTCGCCAGCAACGCTCGGGTTACCTGCTGCTGTAATGGGGCGACTCTTTTTCTCAGTGGCCGTTAAACGCCGTCCGACCTGAGATTATAAGGCGGTCGCAGTTTAGCCGCACTTCCTTTCGCCGAGCTAATTAACCGCGACTCCGTCAAAGGGCTCCCGGCGTTGACTAATCTGCTCGACCAGGTATTGTGTTCACGCCGCCCTGTGTAAAGAGGCCGCGGCCTTAAGAAACGGCGTGCGTTACTTTAAATGTAGTTGGCCATTTCTGTGCCTGCTTGCCAGTTTTTTAGGTTTAAGTTATCGATATACGTCAGATGTCTCCGTCGTCTGGTGTCCTGAGATCACACGATGCTTTTAAAACCGAGCCAGTCGACTACACTGTAGGAAGGCTGGACATAAAAACCTAGAACACCAATGGGAAGTTTTTAACGTACGCATTTTTCCTGATATAAATTTTCCCCGAATTATCGATTGAGAGCGTCTGATTCTGTTGTCTTTCCAGATCTATTTATGCTTCGTTTAGACTTTACTGACCAAAGACAGGGAATGAAATTGCCTCTGTTTTATCTCTGAACTACACAAAGATGGCAAAACACACATAACGGCATCCCATTGAGCGCCGGTTCTTCTGGCAAGGACTCAACAACCAGATACTGAGCCCAGGAAAATCCCTAAAAGCTGAGACGGGAGGCTGAAACCCAATTACCCGTCCTTGTCTTGGGGACGATCATAAAGACTCAACGCACAAGTATTTCTGTGTTGACTTGCGCACTATTGATTCATACTTTAGTGCATTATATGAAACTGTTCTAATTGCACGTGAATCAAATCAAGGTCACCTTGGCTTTTTATAATGGTGGCTATTTTTCTTTCTAACCTAATACTTTGTACTGACATTTTTAACTCTTGACAAGTGCTGACTTATCCATAAATAATGCATTTACAATACCTAGTAAATAAACATGGGGCACAATCGTTAGCCCTGCTGGCAACTGGGCCTAATAGAGCTTTTACAGCAAAGGTGACTATTCAGCTAAATGCAGTGCTCACTGCTGGGAGGACATTTTCATTCATTAGCACAGTCACAAGCACTTAAAGCACTTTAAGGACCAGAAATGGAGAGTAAGGGTAGAAGGATGGAGAGGGTGAAAGGGTAGAACTATATAGAGATGGAGGGATGGAGGGATGATATCTTGAGCATGCATCGCTGTCTCTATTGTTGTAATGTTTGTAAGGCGTCGTGGTAAATAAAGAAACCCGTCTTTTGAATGGAGACGTACAATATTAATGCTGCCATCTGTTGTTTTTGGGAATTCCCTTCCCCTGCATTTACCAAGATCATCAAAACATGGAATTATAACTTGACCTTAGCCAGTCACATGCTGCGTTTCTCGTTGTTTACCCTGTAAAGGTGAGGCCACCGCTACAACACAGCAGCGTGTCATTTGTGGTCGCGCTAAAGCATTCAGTAGCAAGAACCACATCTAAAGTCTGTAAACAACATATGAACACCACATCCAGGAAACTTCAAACCCCAAGCGTCCACCTGTGCTAGCATCGCTTTAAGTGGGATTTCATGTTCCATATAAGAGCAACGCGCTGCGTAAAGCATGTAGCACACGCCATTTGTTTTCCCTTCACACTCGGCACATTTATCCATCAGGACAATGAACTGTCTTGACCAGACGAGGAAGCCCTCAGAAGAATGGCAGCAGATGGTGGAGTCTCTGAGGACGTCAGTGATCCCGAGCAGGCAGGCACCGAAGAAGCAGAATTAGACACAACAGTTGTCGCGTGTAGATAAGCGATATATTTAGCTCGTCTATTGCTCGCGGCACATTAGCGGCGTCATTAAGACAACAAATGGCTTCTCCAGCATTCCTGTATGTTCTTTAATAGGTTAATCCTGCCCTTTTCATCTCCAGCCGTGTCTCTCTCTCCACAAACAAAGACATCAGATTATGAGTTCTCCGAGGTTTCTGTGAGGTTTTCCTCAGGCAGCTCCTGAGAGTCCCTCTCCCTCCATTTTACAGTAATCACTGATCATCACCGCTGAAGCTTCCTCGAGTGCTCTCCACAACAGAGTATCTCTCACTTCTTGCAGCTTGGGGACAGCATGCTGAACTTTGTGAGCCTCTTGTCTTCTGCTGTGTTCCCCGCTCAGAAACTAATTTCCTCCAACAAGGGAGTTTATTTTGGTGGCGATGATACACAGCGCATGAGGCAGACCAAGTCACTATTATTAACAGGAGATTAAAACAGCTGTATGGCACTCTAAAGCACCCTCTCCTCCCTGCGCTAACATACGGCCCTGGATTACAAGCTGCACTTGACCATTTAAATTACTGCAACAACCAGCCTTCACCAGCTGGGGCTCATTACCATAATGCCCGCTGTCACTGCCGAGAGCACTGACAATCGTGCCCTGAAAATCAGCCACACCAGAACGGAGACACATGTGAAGTATATTCTACCTGTGGATGAAACAGAGAAGTAGTCGTGGAACCGCTTTTGAATCGCAGAATGCCTTTTTTTTTATTATTTATAAATGAGAAACTGAGCTATAAGATGCTATGAGGTGGGATCAGCTCCAGATTCAAGCCTATTAGAAAATAAAATAAAAAATGATGTGGAGGAAAACTAAAGCATTTGCAAAAAACCTCCAGGGATCTTAGGAAAATATGAAAACTCCTCATATAGAGAGATATACCGACTATTTTCTAGAATATTAAGTCTAATTAATTCAAATCCTGAACTGTAAGCAGCTTTATGATTAAAGAATATTTGTATATTTTGCTAAAATGCTAATATTAACTAATACAACAACTCTTTTTTTTTTTTTACAATATAAATAACTGAACCTCTTCTTTTTTAATGTTTCTTCACGTCTCAGTCTTTTTTTTTTTTTGGTCACTTTGATCCATTTTAGTTTTTAGAAGATCCTCAATTTATTAGAGAAAATCTAGACGGATTGTTTCGTCTCACGCTATCCAAATACTGCGTCCCACATCTGGATGTGGCGACACGATTACCCGGCGAGGGTCCTGTGATGCTCCGATACCGAGATCGCCAAACGAACACTTAAAAAATAAGTGGTAAATTATTTTTAGGCTAACAGAGGTCTAATTTATTCGTCTGATGAAGTGCTTAAGCTAAGAGCTCCCCAGACGCTAAATGAGACACATGCATTCCCGAGGGGGTTTAACATTTGATTGGATGTAGTTATATTACTACAGCCCTAATTAAGAAGGGGGATGTGTTTCAGCAGCTCTTTCAAATATTTGTTTTTCCGCCATACTCTTGATAGACTGCAGGCTGTAGGAGGGAGAGCCGAGCAGGGTGAAGCAGACATGACAGAGACCTCGCAGTGTAAACGGGTTTATCATCTTCTGCATCTAATTGTAGAAAAATAAAAATCTTATGTTGAATAATCAAGTCGTCACAGAGAAGGTCTCCGGGTTGTTTGTGGCATAACTGTGATGAATAACCGAGTTAAAAAAAAAAGTGTTCTGTGTGCAGCAAAATAAAAAGAGGTAATGTTCCTGGCACCGGGTCAGCGCTGTGAGTTTTATAGTCAAAGAGTTTTCCTTGGCATGGAGGAAGACCACACTTATGCTGAGGTGCAGTGCCACACAGTCTTTGTCACATTGGACCAGGTTCAGAACAAACTGGAAACACTCTAACGTCAGTGTTCCCGGCTTGTGTGTGCCCGCATGAGACGGGGAGATACAGGAGAAAGGAGGCAGACAGTCAGGAAGCAAGAAAATTATTTTAAAAAAAGAAAAAAGGAGGAGGAAAAATTTGGGACGATCAGGAAGAAGGTTCGCCGTCACCCCAAACACACACACAGACAGACAGAAGGAGGGAGTCGTACCGTCTTGCTCTGTCTTTGTCATCTCCTCCAGCTTCTTCTGCTTCAGCGTGTCCACTACGTCTGCCAGGCTTCCTTTGCGGCGCTCCGGAGTTCCAAACGCTGATCCGCTCAGCAGGTCACTTCGCTCCCGGGCCCCCTCCTCAGGCTTGTGTGGGGAAGTGGAATTGTTCCGGAAGGAGTACAGGGAACATACTTTATTGCTGTCAGATTCCTGTAAGACAAACAAAAAGTCGGGAGGGGAGGCAGGAGAAGGGATGGGATTCGTATTAAATGATGAGCGCGTTTCTGTGTTCTGTCAGAACTCCATTGAGATTTTCTGACAGGTTTTTTCTTTTTTTTTCCCGTCGTTCGGTGATTGCTAGGTTTTTGCAGCTCAGGGCCGATTTGGCCATATCAAATGGCTCCTCTCTGGCTTTCATACAGCGGCTTCTGTATTTTCAACAGTACTTGCTGCTGCTGCTGGTAAATGAGATATGACAAGTGAAAAATTGAGATGAAATGATGAGGTACACTTTCATAGGGCATATCCATAATGTGCTCAGGCTTTACTTTTCATCTGCAGAGACTACACAGAGAAACCTCCCAACTGTAATCTCTCAAATTGCTGTTGAGTGTGCATTTGTGTTAGGGTGACTGCTGTGTAATTTGTTCATTTTCTAGCGGAGACCTATTCTCAGCTGAGTGCCTTGAGCCGTCGTAAATCTGTGTCCTGTCTCGAGCTGTTGTTGTTTTTCAGTCCCACCTGTGTATGGTTTAGTATTTAACTAAGGGTCCTGTCTCTGGCTGACTGGCTGAGTGCTCCCTGTGCACAAACAGAGACATAAAGGAGGAGAGGGGAGAAGAATGGGGGAGGGCTGGAGGAGAGAGAGGAAGAGAATACTCTGCACATGGGAGCGTATAGTCAGCACACAGACCGTGGCTGAGGTCTGACAGAAGGTGGTGTTAATTATAGTTTGTGGAGTCTGAGAAAGCAGAAGGTAACTAAGCAGCCAGGAGTTGCAGCCTTTAACGGGGGAACAGTTATCTCTGGTTTAAACTTTGGCCCGCCGAGTGCTGCGCAGAATAAACACGACACACATCTGCATCCAGCACACACTGCACTCCTGTCATAGAAACGCCAGTTTTTAATCAACGGCGGCGTGATAACAGAGCGTATTACGGCGTGGTTCAACGATACAGCCGCGTCTGGAGCCACCGACAGCCCTAAATAAAAAGTCAGGAATGCGGTAAACCCGGGCAGGAATGTTGACAGTGCCAATTTCTCATCCCTGTGTGGCATGCTGAGCTCGAGGCAGAGCCGCAGCGGTGTGTAGGGTGGTCTGGTACCAAGCGCCAGGGTGGCACGACCGGCCGGCCCGCGCTGCACCTCCCAGCTCCGTGTTGGATGATTATGCAGCGTGGCAGAGACGGTGGAGAGTGCTTGAGGGGAGTGGGGCAGTGCCGGGTTAATCAGCTGGCGTGGGTTCAGGGCACAGCCCACACAGACGCATGGCACAGCGGTGGAGTCAGGTAATCAGGCAGAGCTCTCATTCCTCCCACCGTATGCCTTCCCCTTGTCTTCTCTCTAGCTCGTCCTCCATTTTGCATTTCGTTTTTTCCTCTTTGCTCATTTTGTCTTTTTCTACTATCTTTTTGCATCTTTCCTCCCACTTGTACTTTTAACCTGCAGCTTCATTCCTTTTAAACACCTCCTGAGCATAATACATCTGGGGGGAAACTACAGCACGCTTCTATCAGCTGTGACGGTTCTGACACAAGATCAAGGTTACTGATGGCAAAAATATAGAAACGCTCAAACGTTCAACTTCTGACATTTAGAATCGCCGTCATCCACCCGTTAATAATGCGATGCACTCAAATCAAACCGAACCCGCGTAACCTGGTGATCTCTCTGATGGCTGCTAACCTTGTTTACACCAATAAAAGATCTGCCGTTCTGACCTGTGCTTTCTATCGGGGTGTTGACGCTGCTGCAGTAAACCAATCCGTCTCCGTCCTGTTCATTCTCTCAACCTGTCCCAGTTGTAAACTACAATTTAATGCATTTAATTATTGTGTTTTTGGCACGCGGTTTGCCAGTTTTATACCCTTTTGATTAAAATCGTTGTGCCTGTTTCGAAGCTAAACTATGTTTTTTTTGCGATCCACATCTTAAAATGATATTCTGCTGCTGACATCTGTAGTGTTGCACAGTGGAAGAGTCCACTTCCTAGCATGCATTATGAGTAGCAGGCTGCTCCAGAGGCTGTGTGTGTGTCTGAATGTGTGTGTGTGTGTGTGTGTGTGTGTGTGTGTGTGTGTGCTGTGCTGCAATGCTGAGGTGTTGAGGGTCTCGGTGGCCAACTGCGGAGCTACTTCAGAGGCCCTCTGGGTCTCTTTACCTCAGACCCGTCTGTCACAGACAACCACCTGCCTCCTATGTCTATAGCTTACAAGTGCTTGTGCTCTTCTTCGCCGTGCTCACATCAAAGAAGCTCTGCACTCGGAGCGTACAGCATCTGGGGTGTTGCTGCAGATGTAGCTCACGCACAACGAGACCAACATGCATCGAGGATTTCTTTAATGGCAACAGCATTCCAGCTCAAGCCAGAGGAAGCAGATAAGGCTGCATTCCCCTCCAGCTGCCGTGATGTCATTCTACGTGGTATTCACATTATTCAAATAGGAGCTGGAAATCCTCTCTTTAACCCAACAGCTCTGGATTTAGTGTTTGTCAGAGTTGCATATCTAGAAACCTGTAATCCCTGAGGTTTCACAGTGTTGGGAAACAACGGACAGGACAGCTTTTTTTAGTACAAGTTAAGAACAATAAGGACAACCTGTGTGGTAAATACCTAAGAGGGTACGGTCAGACAGCAGTACACATGAACAGGCTTAAAAAGGTTCTGTTTTACTGAACTACTCCGTCCTTTATGCCCCAAAACAGATCAAACTAATTTATTTGATTCCATTTCTGCCACAGATGTCTGAAACAGGTGTTTAAACTGCGCAAGTTTGGGAAAGTTAAATTTCATTAGAAGGCATTTGCTGAACTCTCAGACGGATTCTCTGACAGCTGAACGTCTCTGTGTTACTGTCAAATGAATTAAACTCAGAGTGTATTCTGCTCAAGGGAAAGTCACAGCGGTTTAAATTGGAAGAATCTTTTGGGGTTCAAATTTTAGTTTTACAGCTAAACTGTGTTGTTTAATGTCAACAGCATCACAAGTCGGTGTTTCTTGTGCGACTATAACGAGCAAAGCATGAAGCTGAATGTAGGAAATGAGCTTGAACCAGGTCTAGTTTCACCCAAAATGCTGCAGACCTTTAAACTACCTGGTGCTGGTGGTTAACCGGCATCTACCGGGTATTTGTTCTGCTTCTATGCATGCATGTCTCACCATGCGCTGCTGGGCCGACACCAGGCTGTCCCAGTCGCTCTCCGGCGGGACGCTGCTGAGCGGCTGCAGCTCATCGGGGGCTTTTCCGTGGAGCAGACTGTGCAGGGGCAGCTGTGGCGTGCCGTGGGCCTCGGCACTCTCCTCTTTCTCCCAAGACAAGTGCTCCTGACTCATGGCATCATCTCCATCAACCACAGAGGCAAAAGGAGACGTGGCTTGCTTGGAAGACATGACTCTGCTGTGGAGCGAAGAAAAAAAAACAAACAAAAAAAAAGGGAAAATACAGCATAAGAAAAAGTGAGGAAGGCTGTGTCCTTATTTAATGAACGACGTGTGTTGCTGTGAAGCTGGGATCCTAAGTGTTGCACCTGAGGGCTCCACCTGACTGTCACCTGCTGCAGAGTGTGGAGCAGGCCATGGGGTCCCTAATCCTTTGTTTAATGCAGATGGATGACTTGATCTAGGGCTGGAACCGTGCCTGTTTGGGTTCTGGCCCAAACCCCAAGACAGTTACTCAGGCAGCAGGTCAGTCAGAGAGCGGAGACTAAACGCACATAAAAAGGAAAAACCTACCAAATATGTTAACTCTGAGTACAAGGAGGTTGTTTTTTCCTCTGATAATACCTGTTTTTTTATTCCTGAAGTAACTAAAGAATCTCCTTTATCTGGTTTTGTCCTTCAAACGTCTTAATTATTTAATAAATGTGCCGATTTGATTTCCCTCCAAGGCAGTCAAACAAAAGCCGGCCTCGTCTTCTTTTGTCTCAATGCGTCAAATTAGGGAATTTTGCTGTGACATGTTCCCCCCAGGCCAACAAATCCTATTTAAGCAGCTTAAATACCAAAAGCTAACAGGAGGACTAAATTCACAAATCTGTCACATGCTTTCATGAATATTACAGTGAAGAGAGTACTTGACATGTCAGGTGCAAAGGAAACTCATGTTAACTCCAATTTGTGTTTTTTTTTCCTTTTCTTTTTTGAATTTATACAACCAATTCCACTTTTTTTTTCTCACAATTAATGAGGCTGCACTCATGCTGTGTGTTACAATGAATGAAATTAAAGACTGTGTCAGCAAATCTAATTATGCATTTGGTATTAAATTAAAAAAAAGGGGGATAATATGGCCTTCCCACTGATGTGAAGTGGAGAGACGGAGCTGGAGCATGTTTAACTCCTAATCCCTGTTTATTTTTGCCCCACACTACTGGCTGTTAAGCTGTAGGCCTCCATCTTCTCTGGAACATGCAAATAGAAACTGGGCTGGATGTGAAGTTCTGGTTTGACAAAATGCTCAGGGTACTTCTTGTAGCACATTTCATCACTGATCACCATCTGCCCCGTTCTCCTGCTCTATCCACAGGGGTCAGTGTGGCAGCACTTTAGTTCCACCCTCAGTTTGCTGGGGGTTTGTAAGGGGAGGGGAGGGGGGGAAAGCTAAGGTTTGGGGGCCGAAGGGGGGCGGGCGGGCGCTCTCAAGGTTGAGGCAGGCTGTGGTGCGATGGTGTCCTTGCACTTTCTGTTGCGAGCCAGACACCAAGAGATAGGCAGAGATATGCTCCATTCAAGAAAGGGTTTTACCAGCAAGGTCTGACGGTTCTGGGTCTGGCTCAAGGAAATCTGTCAAATGAGATGTATTGAGCGAGTGCACGCGCTGTCGGATCTGTTTTTGTTTGTGTGTGTCGTCGGCGAGATTATTTCAAAAAACAGGCAACTGCCATGAAGCCACATTTGGAAGACAATGAGAAGGAAAGTACAGCGAATTAGGAGAGGATAAAACATAAACTCGTGCTGTTTAGATGGACAGACACAGTGGTGTTTGCAGCTCCGCATTAAACAGAAAAAGAAGGAAGAAGCGGTAGAAGTTGTAGTCGGAGCAGACCTCAGATCTTCTTTTATTTATTCTAGATGTCTGGATGTAACACAGAGAAATTAAAAGGCTCTGTCACCATGTTTTATTTAAACCCTCAAAAAAAAAGAAAAAAAGAAAAGCACACCAACCCCAGAAGACTTGAGAAGTCTGGAAGGAATTAATGCCAAAGCAAATCAGACACAATTCCGGTGTATGAAAGTACAACAGTCTCTGAGCATTACGGCGCTCTGTCTCTCTTACTGACTCGCACACAGTCGCAGATCGGCCTGGCCGCTGAATGAGGACCTCAACAATGGTGGCCTAAGTTAATCTCTTGTGTCTCAGCAGCTGTACAAACAAACCCGCTCAGTCAGGTAGATGGCAGGACAGGCGTGTGGACCCGTGCCTGTCTGCCTGTCTGCCTGTCTGCCTGCCTGTCTGCCCGTTTGCCCGTCTGCCTGCCTGTCTGTCTGCCTCCCTCCCCTCTTTTAGCCCCTGTGCCTCCGAGTGTTGTCGACTGTGTCTTTAGGAGGACTCAGCCCTCAATTTTAATCAGCCATTAAATTGTTTCCTGCAATTACGTCAAATAGAAAACGAGCTCAAAATTGTGTACTGTTAATTGAAAATCAAGAGTCGGAGCAAAGTTCAGAGCACGCGTGTAACGGTAACTATAGAGAGGGCAGTCGTGGGCTTGGAGCGTGTGTGTCTATATGTGTGTGTGTGTGTATTCTGACATATTTTTTATTCATGCATCCAAAAAGCCCGAGCCTGAAGCGCAACAAGCACCTCGTCCTCAATGGAGTGTGAGAGCGAAACAAAGCACTGCTTTTGTATTACACAGTAAATCAAGTGGTATTATTTTACCACTAAAATATTCAGTCTCTCAGGCACTTTTACTTTGGTCTCCAGTCATCAGTCAAACTGCTGAGGCGTGAGCGAGAGAAGGGATGTAGAGAGAGAGAAGAGAGAGGGAGCAGTGGAGACTCCATCCTCCTGTAACATGTGTCTACAGCAATCTTGTTAAAGAATGCAACAGATCTGCAGCAGGCTCCATAACAGTATTTGTCAGCAGGAGTTAATAATTTATTAGCAGCGCTGGGAGGGCTGCGCTCAGGCAGCTAAAGAGTGCAGAGAAGCCCTTCTGCCCCACCCCCCACCTCTGACAAGCCCCATACAATACTACCTCATATTATTGAAAGGGAAAAGGGGGGGAAAGCGTGGCGGTAATTCTCTGAAAATATCTGAGGCCAAGCGTATACGGTATTTTATTCCTCATATTTGCAGCGGGGATCACACGGCGCTGTGATCTAAAGGGGTTCGTGTGCAATAGATCAGCACAGACACAACAAAGACGTTTGACGGGCCGCAAAACAGAGAGCAGCCGAATGTGGGTAGCATGTAGAATCCCATCATATCTTCTGATAGAATAACGCTGTTTACACCCTCGGCCTCCGTGCTTGCAAAATAAAATCAGCAAAACAGCCCTGTTTGTATAACTACAGTGTATTCTTGAAATAACTTTACTGGCATTAATAATTAAATGGGTTTCTGTGGAAAAACAGGCCCAAAATGTGCTTTTACATACTAAACAGGGCGAGAAGTGGTGGACTGGAAAAGGTGGCGGCTGATACATTCCTCACCAGCCGCCCCGCCTCGCGCTTGATTACGCGGTAATTACAGAAAAGTAATCAATAAGTGTGTGATACGCCGCCGTCGTTCTCAAAGACAAAGCCCCAGTCACTTTGAATTCGAGTCGAGGCAGCGACGAGGGAGGGTCAGATAGAAAAGAGACCTGGGCTATATATAGCTGACAATATTACGCACATTTGAAGGATTAGGACTTAAGTTCTCCGGCCGTGGGCTCATGTAGCCTGGAATGCTTTGAGTCATGAATTGTTCCCCGAGATAATGTTTCATCATCGTGCAAAACAACCTCTGCTTAATTGGTAAGTATTAGAGGAGTGTTGTGCTCTGCTCATCTCGGGGGTCTTGTGACCGCCGGGCATGTGTCCTCGGCTATCCCGTTTCCTCTTTCATCATAAAAGGGTCTAACTGACTTTCACCCGCTGTATCTGCTCTGTCACAGTGTTTACCTTTTATAGACAATGGTGATAAGTAACTCCACACCGTCCACCCATCTCCCACACATGCCCACTCGTCTGTCTCACTGCTGACGTCTCGCACCTTCCAGTCATGATCGCAGGTCCCGACAGGGGACGTTACGCCCTCTTTCTTTCGCGTGTTATCAGCAGAGCAAGGAGAGAAAACAACTAAAATATTAAAAAGTAAAGGCCGTTTTAAAAAAATAGAATAAATAAAAAAAGTGTGGTGGACGAGCAGACGGTGACTTAAAGGAGTTTCCATGTGTAGCCTGTCGCAGCATGCACGCATATAGAAGGGCTTGTATTCAAATATGCAAAGTATGTTGGTGTCAATAAATGTTCACTCTTCTTTAAAAACAGAGCATGCAGTCAGTCTGAGGTGTGTCTGACTGCACGAGATCTTCTAACCAAACCAATTAGAGGCGCTGCGACTGCTCCTTTGTGCTGTTATTTTATTGCACTCTGTTAAACGTGCCCCAAACCCGAAGCCTAAACCGACAAAAACACGGAGACTTCATGGTCTAAAAACAGATAGAGACAATAGCGTGGGCGCCGCAGACCATATGTGTGCATATGCGTGTGAGAGAGAAGAAGTCAGAGAGAGGGAAAATCATCTGTGTGTTTCCCTTCAGGGGTTCCTCCTGTTCTAACAGGTGTCATGGTAGGGTTCCTCTGGGTTCTTCACCTGCCATAATGAGATATTACTACCTGACAGCTCCCAGCTGGAGGAGCATTGACACGGAATCCACCGTTTAGCACAATTAAATTATCACCCTCCATTGTGATTGTGCCATGCTGTGCAGCAGCCAGGTTTCTGGATACATAATCAACTCATAATACGGGCTGTATACCGCGCACACGCCGCCTCTTTTCACACACACACACACTGTGCATGCTCACACGTGTTTGTGTGTTGTGTAGCTCGTACAGACACATGTTTTTTTAAATGTCACTGATGCACAAATTTAGCTTAAATCTCGTAAACCTTAGCTGACAAAAAAAATAATGATATTAAAATATAGTAAATAATTGTGGAAATACAGCTTTTCCAGCTCGCTGTCGAACGCGGAACAGAGGCTGGAGAGCTGCCTAAATGAATTTGTTTAAATTGTTCCTCCATTATTGTTGACCTTCCCCTGCAAAAAGTCAACTCAATTACGACGGCACTTCATCCTCACTTCACATTCTCTCCTGATGCCTTCTCTATTAGAAACTGCCACTGTTACCACAGCTAAAATCCACACTCAAATGATCGCCACCCAGAGCAAATTAAGCCAGCCA